TGACAAGATGGCGGTGAATCCCCCAATGGATTTTCCTTGCGCAGTATTGGGAAAATTCACAATTCTCCGGTTTCCACTCAGGAATATCGATGTAGAAAGCAACAATCAGGTAAGTAATGATAAAGGAAAGTGTACGCCAGAAGTAAGAAGTCAAAAATTATTCTTCAATATGCGTAATTTTCGGACAATGGAAAACGGCCTTAGAACTTATAAAATATAATAGCGTCAGCGAAGCGTTGAAGGAAAAATGACAAGAGAAAACTTCACCAAACTTATACAGCCACATACATCCCTTGAAAAAGGTAGGCAAAAATGTCGAGTTCCAATATTGCGTGTACGCTCTTTTTACAAGTAATGGTTGAACGTGGTTTTGTACAAAAAGTGCGTGCACCGAGAGGAATTAAAAAAAACTCTGCACGACCTTCATCGGCGAAACAAAGAACTATTGTAACAAAATATCTATAAACTTGAACTAAGTAAGAGAACTCTATTACAAGAATAATTTACATTTAAGCTAGTTGATTACAAAGGAAATACCTAGATCTCGAAAGAATATTGAATAGAACATAACAACTCACTTACTTTCTCACTTCATTTCCAATTTGCATTTTACAATTTCAGAATAATTAATTGTATTCAACCCGTACGAATTGGCGAATGTTATTTCCGTCATAATTGTGATTTTATACAATATTTAAAATATTGTGCCACCGTATTTCACGGAAGTGAAATTATGTACTAGGACTGTTATGTAACGAAGCTCGACATTCACACAAAGGGCTCACGGTACGAAGAATATTGACAGAGCTCAATCGCCTACAGGCTCACTGTAGTCCACCATTGATCAAAATCACTTAGAAGTATTGTTTTTTATTAGACTACTCTAAAGGTTTTGATAGACTTGATCACGATTTATTGATCGCTATTCTTAGGTATATTGGTTTAGATGCCATTTCGACACGTATGGTAAAATAGTATATTAAGATACAAGTGTATAATCAAGTCTTTAAAGCACGCGCAACGAGTTTAAGGGCACGACGCAAAGCGGAGTGCCTTTAACGTTGCAAGTGCTTTAAAAACCAATTATACACGTGTATCTTATAGTATTTTTTATTATACTTGCAGTATAATTTAAAAATAGAAAATTCAATGAAATCATATTGACGTTATACTCGAATACATGTCTAATTAAGTGGGCTGGGTGTTCGTAATTTCACGATTGCCATGGAAATGTCACTTGACGTTTGCTTATAAAAATCATCGTCTTTGTGAATTAAACCATTTCCGTTGAAAAAGATAATACACCGTCCATTAAATCGATTGTTGTAAAATCTAAACAAACGTTGGTAGGTGTAAAATCCAAATCCAGTAAAGCCTATTATAAATAATATGAAAAGTTGTTTCCATGGATGGAATAGGAAGTTACTTACGAATAAAGTCTTAAATGCATCGATAATGCTGGCATATATGAAGGAAATGTCAAAGGTATTTAAATCTTCTATATTTTGGTGCATTCATTCAAAACTTTAAAGCAATGCTGCGATTAAAAAGTGGAACAGATTTGGAAGCATACCCTAAATTACGCGCGTTTGTGAAAGCTTCAACCAAAGGATAGGTACAAAAGCCAAAGAAATGTTCCGCATTTACAGAAAGCGACCTAAGAGGATTGTTTATTTCGTCCAGATGACAGTTTCAAAAGTCATACTTGAAGTATCGTTATTTAGCAACTTTAAAGCACGTGTGTTTTAAAGGCCCTTTTTCGCACGCATTTGAGTGTTTAAAACGGAGATTGTGATTCAGGTATAATAAATAGTATATTAAAGTACAAGTGTCATTTGACGAAGATTGTCGCACGAGGTAGACAGAGTGCGACAAGTAGACAAATGACACGTGTGCTTTATACTATTTTTTCTATTTCGACTTTTATTTTAAATAATAAATTATACAAATTATAAATATTGCCATTAGGCGTTGTTAGGTAATTTTAAACTATCATTCAGTGTATGTTGGTAATAGACACAGTTCATTTATTTTCACGTTGGCTAACCTGATTTCTGTATTTCCAAACTTCTAACTTTTAATTATTTGGTCATAATTCCATTTTGCGGCAGTTATGATGAATACGGATGACAAACACGTCTCTTGTACCCCACCAGAGATCCAAGAGATTGCCAATGAAGCGACGTTAAATTTACTGCCTGTAAAATCGAAAGTAAAGTATGAGGAGTACAAAATTTTTGAAAACTGGCTGGCCGAGAAGGGAGTTCAAAAAGTAAGCAAGAATGTACTGCTGGCATATTTTACTACGCTAAGTAAAAATAAAAAAAGTTCTACCCCTTGGAGTATATATTCAAAATAAATCGGAATTAATACAATCGGTCAAGTTCCTCGTACGTGATTTACACTTTACAGGTTATGTTTAGTTTTGATTTGACGGATACCGTTGACGGCAAAAAAGCGAGGGGTACCAATCCAACAAAATAAAAAAAATAATACGTTTCTATTTCTTTCAGCATCATTTCTGTCTAGAAACGCACGCAAACTGGGCCAATCAAGTACGGTTTCGGTATTGTTTCCACATCGAAATAGAAAAAAAATTATATAGAACTAATCATTCTTAAAGATAACGTTTCTAAACCGCTATCCTTGATCAATCCTCAGGGATACATTTAGGGACCGTTTCTTTATGTGATCTACACGCGCCAGATTACCAAATCTTGCGCGTATCACTTATACGGTGACGATACCCAATTCTCCCAGACCATCCGTAACGCGGAGAGGACAATTTTTATTCACCGTCTTCGTTTTAAATTATACCTAATGTGCAATAATTCGAATCAATTTGGAGATGTAGGTATTTATGTTCATGATTTTACAGTGTTGTTAAATATGATTGTTCTCTTGCTATTCAGCGAATCGTTCAGTTCCTAAACGAAAAAAGCTTCGAACAACTAAGGTTGAAAAGCACAAAATGTAGCTTTGACTGAGTACAGTAAGTACGCACTTTTCTAAAGTCACACATAATATGGAATAAATACCTGACTAAGAAAATAGATGGATAGTGCGTACTAGTAACCAGTAAACTACATTAAAAAAAAATATCTTCCTTCCCAACAACAAACTGAAATGTTGCAGTTAACCTAAGAAACACTACAGTAAATATAGAATTACTATGTGTGTTGGTTTTAAATTAATACGGTATTTTTATGTCTTTATGCAAAGCATGCTTTACCGTCTTTGTAAGTTTACTTCATCTAGAAAATGGGGTTATAACAAACATAAAGCACTAGAAGTCTTATAATGATGGCATCTTTGAAACAGTTATGACTCTTCTTTTCGTTACTACCTCCATTATAGGTCAAATTCCAAGTTTGATCTATACATTATACAGGATGTTCTGTATAGATCCTTATGATATTGCAAGTCGAGACTATGGTCAGTACTTTATTCAAGTTGTTTTCCATTCCAACTTTAATCAAGTAGCGCGATTACTACGAGCAGCCACGTTATCAAAAACGTGTGATCCTCCGCGTCCGGGCGATTGTCCGTTCATTCGTCTGTTCGGTACGACGTACGATAAATCAGAAACACTTTGACATATAAAGCTCAACGTTGGCACACATGACTATGGGAAGAAGTGATTAGATTTTGAAATTCCGTTTTTACATTTCGCGCATGTAATTAGATAACTTCATTGGCAATAATTGTCTTTTACAGGATCACGTATCATAAATTTTCCGCGAAACGTCGAATATATAAAATTATTAAATGTCGAACGTCATGCTTAAAAATTCATAATTTAATTGACCGAAGAGAAAAAAAACACATTAATTCTGATAGTGAATAGTAAAAAGCAATATACAATATTTATTTCCTATAGCCGATCAATAATTAATTGGCAATTTTTCCTAAAACCGCATTTGTGATTATAATTTATTTAAAAAAGGTCTTTGAGTTATTACTAAGCATTAACCGTTATCAATGAGGAACCGATTGAATGTTAATTAAAATTAGTAGTAAATTTATGGTAATGCAAGTGCTTGCCAAGAATGATTGAAAAGAGAATGAAGGTTAATTAAAATTGACAATTATGCCCAAAAAGTCATAAGTTGAAAGACATATGGACAAAGCACATAGGTATATAAAAGTGAAAGTGGTACCAGAGAAAGTGAAATAACTGGATTTTAACTAATTTATCTCTTAAGACGTAACGCATCGTATTAAATACTTACTCGAATATTTCCCGGGTCAGTTTTGATTTATGGTAATTACGTAAACTGACTACTTTTCAAATTATCTTAACGCATTAACAATAAGATCCTCCACGTTAACGTACTCGCTCTTAATTGAGAATTGATTAGAATGTTGTAATTCTACTCTTGTCTAAAAAAACTTGTAGGAATACATTAAAAGGTGACAATGGAATGTAATTATTACCTTAGAGATAGGAAATTTGTATTGAAATTTTTTCGTTAAATATTATGTAAAACCACTTTTTCCTGCTAATGGTGTGTGTTTGGCAAAATTTATTGAGGATTTAATTGAAGTTCAAGGATAAAAATCGTGAAAGTGCAGATTCAAAGTGGAGCCCAGGTTTCTCTACAGACAGTTGTTACCGGGGCCGTTTGCCTTGAAAATTGAGCTCTAGAAGTGCAACATTCTTTTCAGGTATGGAAATAAAAAGTACAGAAGATGAATAACATTTTTTTAATTTTAATACTACCTACTTTTTACAACTTTACGTAACACAGTATTCAGTGGCTATCTGTACATCTTACTTAACTAATTAACTTAAATTACGATACCAACAGTCTCGCCAAGGTAACCAAATCGGACATCAGTCTTGCAAGTAAGCTAATAAATATCGATCGTATACATCCGTCATTAGATCCTCGCTCATTTGGTTACGTAAAGTTGTAAAAAGTACGTTTCCAACTCTAAATCGCCCTTCTCAGGAGAAGGCAGTTCTATGTACATTCGAATAATTGCCATGTTCGATATTTATTAACTTATCAATCGTAAGACTGATTGTGCGCGAGTTGATTAGTTTAACGAGATCACGAGTAATATCGCCTATACAACAAATAATCACGGTTGACTTAGAAGAACCCGTCGCCTGTAGGATCATTTAACCACGGGTAGTTGTTGGGACAACGAACGCATGTTTGCAAGTTAATCGTTTCTCCAGGAACTTCTTTAGATGTTAGCCTGCAGGAATGAGGCACCCAGCAGTTGGGGATACCATCCACTACACACTTCTCCCTCCAGGGTTCGAAATTTTTCAATTCCGAAGTCGTTCGGGGATTTTGTATCCACTGTATTACCTGCGTCATGGTGACGAAATAAACGTCGTTATGGTTCGCGAGGATTTCGTCGATCCAAAACAGGAACGCTTCCAAAAATTCCTCGTTGTTCCTAAGCCACGCCGCGTGGAAGTAAAGGCCGAGAGGTGCCCGATTTTCTTCGTAATGGCGGTCGAAGTTGTGATTTAAGAAATTGTAGAATTGGTCACCGGTGATGATGTTTGAGCAAGAATCCACCATGGCACATCCGGGTAGGTATTCGTCGCTGCTTGGATCTTCTCTACGGTCGAGTTCGTTTAGGACCATTTCCCAAACGGCATGACTTCTCGTTGGGCAGCTTTGCAGATTACCGTGGCATCTGTGTGGCATGCGGAAGTACATGGTGTAAGGCCACAAAGGAGGGTTGCTTAGGGGAGCGGTAATTGTCGAGTCGTATAAGAAAGCTTGTTCCTCCATCATTGTGAATTGATTATTTCCTCCTACTCTAAGGTATGGTGCACGTACGCCAACAACGCTATTATCGGTTAAATTAGCGTACTTTTCGACGATTATTCTCATGCCCGCCATTTCTTTGGCCCAATCGTCGACTGTGGCATTACTCCAAAATCGTTCATCATCATTATGGCTAAAGAAAATCAGGAAATTGATGATTGAATGTGCATACAGAATATTGAGTACTTACGTGATAGAATGTACAGCAATTTCGTGTCCTTTACGATGCATTTCCTGTACAGCTGAGTAATTTGTGTACTTATGAGAGATAAAGAAAGTAGATTTGATGTCACATCCGTTTGGATTTTTTCGTTTTCCGTTGAATATTTCTTTGTAAAGCTCGATGTTGTTGTTATTAATTGCGTCATCAAAAGTGATGGTAATCATTTGTGGCACGTCTTTGGCTGGAATGTCACCGGGGATCGTTGTACCATCTTCGGAACAGAAACAGTCGGGAAGTTGGCAGACAGACGGGTCACAAGGTGGAGCACGATTTGGATCGTTGTCAATATCTGGAAAGGTTAAGCAATTTAGACCACGTGAGCTCGACGTTTCGCAAAACACATACCGCATGCATTTTCGTCGGAACCATCCGTACAGTCCTTCTCGCCGTTACAAAATAGTCCCCTTTCGATACAGATCCCATCGCCGCAAGCCAAAAGACCATCGTTGCAAAGAGGTTCATTTGTTATGAGCAAAGGTCGCACTCTTCTCTCTTTGTTCTTAACTTTACAATTTCTGACACCATCTCTCCAATCGCACGTCTGCTTTTCGATGTCAAAATATAAGCCTGCCGGGCAACGGATGGCCTGTAGTCCCTATTATAAGCAATAGCGTTACCATAATACATCGATATGCAATTAAAGTTCACTTACTGAGGAAGTACATTGAATCACATCACGACAGCTGTCACCTTCACCGGGCACAAGCCTAAACCATTCACCAGCGTCTTTATCCTTACAGACCTCGTCAAAGTTGCTATCTGATTTTCCGGCCTCATCTTGCCTTTTCACTCGAAGCGAGTCCTCTGCAAAATTGATTTACAACGTAATAATTCGCCCAAACTCTAATAATTAAGTATGTCTTATCTAGAGAAAGCATCAAAAGGTGTTGGGCTCGTTCCGTCAAAATTAATACTTGATATTCAAATGATCGTAATTAGTTTGTTTTTATGCAAGATTGCATACGTAAATACTGTTTCGTTGTAATGTGGTTTTATGCTTCCAAATACCTATAGGGATCTATACTTTCTAATACTGTAATAACATCAGAACTTAGATAATCGGCATGTTTAAATGCAATAGTGCAGATATAAAAAGTAAAAAATTCCACGGAGGGTACCTCAGTAAGTACCTAACTGTGTAATATAATTAAAAAATTAGTTTTTGTCCGTAATTACAAAAGAATTTTAATTATAAGTATACGGTATACATTTTTGTAATTAGGAAGTAAATTTGAAAACAAATGGACATTACAAGGTAAGCGGCTTTCACATCGGTGCATACAAGTTGCAAATCTGATAATTCGTTTCTCAACAATTATAATTGTTACATACAAGGCAGGTTTTTATTTATACTTTCATTGAAATCTCTCAGCGTGATTAATGAATAAAACTTTTTTGTTAGCCCGTAGAAAGTAAATGGGTCATTGTGAGATTACGCATTCACGTAAGATAAGTAATCACTTACCGGCGAAAGCACATGTCGTAAGTAAGAGGAGCGCACAAAGAAAGCGCGCCATCACCAATAAACTGAAGCACTACACTGTTCAGCACCTGACAGACCCTCCTCAACACCGCAGAAGTCTTTTATACTCGGCCTACATCCAAAGCCCCCGTAGACCGACGTCACCGCACCTACAGTCGGTGGAACATTGGCCATCCGTATTGTGAACGCTTGCTTTTCTTACCTGTTGACCACTTCGTTCGCCAAGAAAAAAAAGCTATTGCAATATGCTCTCCCGGTATCAGAAATTAATTAAAAGAAGGCGAGACGCGACGGGATTTGCTTTTTTTGCCATTCCTCTCTGTACATTCTTGAAAGGTTAATAACGCACGCAGTCTTGGATTACAGTCAGCAAGACACTAGGTACTCTGAAGGACTTAATTACGAAATTGAAATTATTTTCGATTTGCTGGGCACGGTCTTAGTCATTATGAAGAAATTTTGTCTCAATATGTTTAAGGTGTGCTATACAATTGGTGACATGCAATGTAATTTGCATTACCTGCCGATGGGCTAAACACTCCGCCGATGGACTATTATTGTGAAACACTGTGCTGCAAGATTCACCAAATGTAAAATGTAATTGAGTGGTTCCATGGTAATAATTACCCGATGCCATTCAAAGATTTCTGTTCTTGTATACACATTTTTGAGGAAGCAACAGGAACAAAAGTGGTCCATAGATAGCATTATCTTCCACCCCACTCCATCAAATGTAAATGAAAACTGATAACTTTCAACAGACTAAGGAGCTTCGTGAAAAATCTTTTCTCTTCCACTATAGCCATAGTGCCTAGATGGGAATCACTCTTGTCACTATTATCCAAAGTTTCTAAAATAACGACAGTGTGTAAGTTTCTCGCAAAGAGTAAATTTCAAAACTCCTATCTAAAAATTCAATTCATTATCAGTGATCACAAAAACCACACATACCTTGGAACTATACGTATATAATAACAGATAAAGCGCATTTTTTTTCAACCGAAATAGCTTTTGTTTTGACATCACCAATGGATATATTTCTTGCAGACGCCTCAATCGCCCTTTGTAAGTACTCTCTTCCGACAATCCGTTCTTGAGGTATAAGGAAATATACCCGATCACGGTAAGAGGTCGAGGAGGAGGGCTATGGTTGGTAGAAATTAATTCCTTTCGTTGAGATCTTTCATTAAAGTACCATGAGGGAATAAAACTAGTTCCATTCATACCCTCCCCCCCCCCCCCCCCAACCCCTCTCTCTCCACCCCGTACTTTGATAAGAGGACAGAAAGAAGGGCAGCATCTCAGGAAATAATTCGTGGGGGGGCCTTTTAGACAGCGAAATTTGATGGCCGTCGGGTACACCTTCAAGGTACCTACTGCAAAAAATTTCTAGAACCATTCCCCTAGAAGTAGTTCGAAACGGCAGAAGTGGGTCCGGACGGACAAAACGCAAACAATAGCACATTTTTTTTAATTCTTAAAAAATGCCCCAAAAATTATTTGTCGATAGAGTATGAATAACGCGCGTTTGTACATTGTTTAAAATAAGCTTGCTATTTGTAAATTATTAATTGTTTAATAATCAAGTATACCCAAATTCTGCAGACATGTCGTTCAGGCCACAGATAAATGGGTATTTTATTATTTTTTAGAACATATTGTTATTTTTTGTCTGTCTTTGAGTATATCCAATGATGAACGTGGAAATAAAAGTATCTATATCTATCTATCTGTATCCAAGATAGCTCTAAAATAATTTATTAAAAAAAATTACTTCCCGATTCAAACCGGGTTTTTCAAATGGTTCAAAATAGGAGAAAAATGATTAAAATAGCTGCATTCTTCCTCGGGCGAAATGCCGGTGGTGAAACGGGTGGAGGGTGGTATTTAGCAATTTGCAAAACTATAAATTTTAGGGTGTTCGAAGTAGTTGTAGCAAATATAAAAATGAACAACTTTTGCATCTACACTTTTTTCACATAACTTCAATTTTCCGAGAAAAACCGGAAATATTGTTTTTTCGTTTTCTATTTTTATACTTGCTAAAAAAGTCGGAGGGGTCTGAAATTTGGAGGAAATGTAGTTTTTTACGGCATAAAAGAAAACAAGTTTTTGGGCCCGTAAAGTCACATAGAACTGCGTGTGGTAGCAAAATTTTCGTAAAGACTTTTAATAGTCAAAAATAAGCAAATAGCATTACGACAGAAACATTTCGAGAAAATCGCCAAAAACTGAAAAAATAGTTCTTTTTATAAATAAATCGAAATGTTGGATCCGCCCTATTAAAGATTTTTTGAAAAATTCTAACACTCCTCTTCTCCGTTAGGAGGAAATCTTTCAGTTTTTCGAATAAAAATAAAAAAGAATACAATACAATACATACTCAACTCATGTTACACCCGGTATAATATCGGACTAAAGTGGGTGTTTAGTTTTTCAGACTATTTCTTGTTTTATTATTAATCGAACAATGATCTCGCTGAAACCAATAACCACTTGCGTGAGGTCGACCTTTTCTATTGTATTACAAAAGCTGGATACAGGATGTATAGGTACATGAAAAACGAATGTGTTTAAATTTGTTTGTTGATACATCCGTGTCCGGTTTCATTACGGCTAATTACATGTACATCAATTTCTTAATCTAGGCATTAATGAATAAGGAAGAAGCTTTAATCGGATTTTGCGCAACCATACTGGTAATTTTTATTTTTAAATTCAAATTGTCAGTTTTTTATCTGAAAGCGTAGATAACTTTTTAAATAATTAGAGACACTGTCCGACATTCCCAGCAGCGTTTAAATGTTTTATTCTGACTTTGATCCAGGTATCTTCAAAGTTGTATTTGAACCGTGAAAAATGGAGGTAGGTGTAACAGAAGGCAAAATGACATTCGTTTCTTATTATGGAACCCCCAATGCAAATAATAAATTTGAAAGCTTTATTCTGCTTCTAACATGCTACGTATACGCGACCGTATACGTAAGTATTTGTTTGTCTAGAGGCGTTTATTGTTACTCATACACTAATTACTTATTGGTAAATTGAATGTGGATGTATAACGTAGATGCCATAATGGACGTAATTATATTGTCAGAAAGTCCAAATGTAACTAATTAAAATCGAATTGCTTCCGTTTGTTTAATAACGGAAGTAAATACCTATAGGTAATTAGAAAGACGTTCCTTCATTTAGACCATGTAATTAAGGCAAAGATACAACTTTAATATTTTTAAAGAGTACATATCTTACGCGATGTGAGAATACGGACACTTCAAAACTTGGAAAAAAATCATAATTTTGTTAAGGTAGTGTGTCAAATGATGCTTTAGATTAATTGATGCGCAAGCTGCTTTATTGATTTAATATGTCTTATTTGTAACCGTTAAAGCCTGCAAGAATCTACTGCGCCCTTGTTATATCGGCGTATGGAAAAGCAAGGAAGTTGTTGAAGTTGAGATATCCAGGGAAGTTACAGCCAATGAATTTGTCGTAGACACCGAAGAAAAGGAAATTGAAGATATCGCAGGATTCGAAAATCTCACAGAACACGGGGCTGGGGATAGGGAAGGATAAGGCGGATTGGAGAAGCTTATATCTAGAAGATGGCGACCTTTGAGGAGTGCTGTTCCCAAATGGCAGAAACGTGGCTCCTTTCGACAATTCGTTAATGGCTATAGCGATGACTGAGAAACTAGCTGAAAATGGTGTAAGAGTTCCAAAACAAATCAATAAAGTTAGTACAATCCAAGAAACCAACTCGACGGAAGAATCAAATAAACAAGGAAGTTCTGTGAGTAAGAGATGTCATACTTGTGGAATGTGCCGATGCTGACGAATGCAAGACAGCCGATAGATAGCACTGGAAAAATATGAGAAAAAAGGAAGCTTGAAGAGCCAATGTGGTTACATATCCGATTTAACGCAATGGACGTACAAATACCAATATAGGGTGTCCAACAACAGTCAAATATTAGGTTGGCCCATACTTTGTTATATATACAGGATGTTCAGGAATTTGTGTCGAATTACGCAGTTTAGATAATGCGAATTTTTTTAAGTAGAACTTTAATAAAGACAGTTTGTAATTATGCCATTGAATCTCAAAATTTTCATTTACTAGTTGGTTTTCAATTTAGCAGAGCTATTGAGAAACAGTGTTAATTAGTGATGAAATAAAACAATTTAAAAACTGCAAAGATCACACTATGCGCTTAAATAATATCGCGCATGGTTTCCCACGTTACTGGACCATATTCACTGTTTACATGCTAGAGTTAATTACAGCGGGCAAAAATTATAATTTCTGTCATAACTTTTGGTTATTTTTTTAGTAGAGTTAAAGGGGTAGACTGTAGGAATTTCTACGACTATAGGTGCTGTAGCTCATTTTTTTAAATTGGAAAGGTGGCGTGTCTTTGAGAAATGTTTCTAATAGCTTTGCATGCTAGTCTACATGCATGCATAATAGTTATACAGTTTTTATTTTATTATTATTTTTTATTTTGCCTTTGAATTCGACTATTTCGAGTAACATTAGCTTTTATTAATATAAAATAATCGCTGTCCAATAAATGAGGGCCAACTTCTCACTGCTCCTCAATTTTTCAAAACTCCTTTTTCCCTCAATTAGTTCCATTTGCACCCACAATAGTTCTATTATACTAGATGGATTTTTGAAATGGTTTTTCCAGATTCATTAGAAAACTGAAAAATATTATAGAATATTACAAAAAAATCTGAGGTTCTACTTACAACCGGACGAGTTTTATAGCTCTACACAAATTTTAGAATTATTATCTTTTTTCATCGGGCAAAAAGTTTTAAACTACCCGATATCAACTTCCAACTACACTTCTTCTCATTTCCCAAAATTCAAAACAGTTTCGTAGTATTTTTTGCTTCGAAAAATCAGTAAACTTAATTTAGAGCATCGCGCCGTGCCTCATGTGCTCCTTACTAAAGAGCGCAATGGTTCGCAAGTTATCCAGAGAAAAATGCAACAAAAAACCAAGAGGTTAGCCTAGAAAATTGATGGTGATTATTTTTTGGGCCGTGAGGGCCTTTAATTATTGAATACATGACGTAAGGAACCACGATTGGTATTGAGGTTTATGGAAGCACGCTTGGAGAGGACCCTTAAAGCAAAACAACCGAAC